GGAAGAGAGAGAGAGAGAGAGAGAGAGAGAGAGAGAGAGAGAGAGAGAGAGAGAGAGAGAGAGGGGGGGGGGGGAGGAGGAAGAGAGAGAGAGATAGAGATAGAGAGATAGAGAGAGAGAGAGAGAGAGAGAGAGAGAGAGGGAGAGAGGGGGGGGGGGGGGAGGAAGAGAGAGAGAGAGAGAGAGAGAGAGAGAGAAAGAGAGAGAGAGGGGGGGGGAGGACGAGAGAGAGAGGAAGAATCCAAAAGACGTCACATGAATACTGCACAAACCAAGTAATAGTTTATTTGGGGCAGAAGGTTGCTGTTCCAGTACAGAAAGACTATTGATTATTAACAGCATGAACGTTCGACTCAGTTACATCTCCGCTACTAGTACCCTTATGGATGGATAGCATGTTGCACAGGCAGATACATGTGAAAGGCGCACGGTGAAAACCATCTAGCCTGCCGCAAGTCGTTATCAGATTCTGTGTAGAAAATATGAGTGCAAGACACAGGACCACAAAATCCTAGCCTGCCAGTAGTCAAATGTGTAGTACAGTTTTTCACACCCGAGCATAACGTTTTTAAATCGTAGAAATGACATCATGTTTTGAAGACTCCGCGTTTGATGGATAGAGATGCACTTTAAAGATGCTGCAGAACTGTTCGCAGCTACGGAGAGTGCAAGATATTCAGTGTGCTTTGACTGCCATTTTGACAGCCTGCTAGTACGGGTCATGGTTCCAAAAGAACAGAGGCAGAAGATATCCAATATATACAAGGGCCCCGGTTCTGCCAGTTTGTTGTACAGTACTACATGTGTACTGCATAGTGAATAAATAGTACGGATTCCCATAGTCCAGGGCCTCCTGAACCGGTCTGGTCGGTCAGGTTATCACCGGACCAACATTTTTAGCCACCAACACAAGTTTATATATGTTGGACTCAGTAGAGCGTCCAGCCCCTATATGATGTCCAACCCCTATATAGAGTCCATTGGTCCAAAATCCACTGTACGGAGTCCAAACTTGGAATCAACTGTGAGCTCAAAGTTTAGATGGACATCACTCCCTGTATAGAGTCCAGCCAATAGGCTTCACCCCTATATAGAGTCCATTGGTCCAAAATCAACTGTACAGAGTCCACACTTTGAAATCAACTATAAAGAGTTTTTTAAATATGTGGACAACACTCCCTGTATAAAGTCCAGCCAATTAGGCATCCCCTATCCAGAGTTCGAAATTAGACATAGGATCTGCTGTAAGCAGTGAATATTAACCAGAAAACGGCCTCTCCCTTTAATCCTTTACATCATTCACTTCTCAAGATAAAAAAAATAAGTATTGACTGCAGCCACTTCATTACATGAAAAACCCTACAAACACCATCCTCAAATCAAGTGGTCTTTTCGCAGACGCTGCAAATTACAATATCTCAATCATGTAGTGTTGCCAAATTATTGTGCACGCACACACCCACACCCACACAACGCCAAGAAAATACCTAGAAAAAAACCAAGAATCGAAAGAGAATAATGGAGAGCCCAGGATTAATTTTTTTTTTCAAATTATTGTGCGCGCACACACACACACACACACACACACACACACACACACAAACTTATACAACGCCAAGAAAACACCAAGAAAAGAGTAGAGACACAATACACACGCAACTCCAACAGCCATGCAAACGTCCACCTATTTACACGTAAGGTCAAGAGAGATAACAAATAATTATACGAAACGAATGCATACGGGGACGGGTGCACGCACGTTTACATACACGTAGTAGTGTAAGAGAGTAACATAGTGCAGTGGTCAGCATAATACTAGCACATGCTGAGAGTTCAATAGCAAGCTTCACCATTGCTCATGGCCATGCAAATGTTCAGCAGCACTCAGTTCCGCAAGCTTCAGCACACCTGCAACAAATAAATAGCACAAGGATACGCTTATTACCGTAATGATGCATGGGAGCACACAACTACCAAGTTCTCAACGAATGTGATGCTCAATGAAAATCCATCCACTCAAAGACTTGTGAACAGGTAACAGTGGGGACAATAATCTATTAGTAATACGAGGAATAAGATCGTTTGTGCACACTCAAGACGCACAGACACACCAACATACATGTAGTGTACACAGTGTTTCACTTCACTGCAACTAAATTGAAATGAGATGATTTGAACAATCTGTACAGCGTTGCCGTCAGTCAGTCTTCCCCAAGATGGAAATGCAATGATTTGTTGTCACGAGGCAGTTTCACTGACACAATGTCATGTTCGTGACATCAAAACGGTTACTTCAGGGAATACGAGCATTAGCTTGAGAAGCTTTTTCTTGTCATTGGCATACAAGCAATCCTCCTACTACTACAGTTGCGCTCAGTGAAATCCGGCCCGAAGTGCATAACTGGCGCCCAGTACTGATGCGGCCCTTGACGCCCTCAAAGTTGTACAAGTGCTAGTGTGCGCGTGTGCCGTATGAACTGTGCATATGCTGTACTCATACGCATGCATGCTTACACCAAAGTGTAAAAAACCGCGCCAAACAAAGACAAGTGTAATATTCATTTCAGTTCAGCGCAATTAAAGAAGACGGAGATCGTTTCGAAGCAGTTTATTTCATGCACAGAACAGCAGGGCTTCAATATTTTGTGTGGCCACCGTCAGCTTCGATTAGGGCTTCAACACGACGTGACATTGACTCCACGTATGGGGAAACCGTGTCAGGACGCAACGAGTCCCACTCCAGGTGCTGTGCCTGCACCAGCTAGTCAGCATTCTCGCAGCGATGTGGAATTATTCTCTTCTTGAGAAGAGCCCACACATTCTCGATTGGGTTCATGTCCGGCGAGCAGGGAGGTTGAAACAGCTACAGGATGTTGAGTACTCCGCTATCGAGAAGATCCTGCTGTGCTTCCGTGAAGTGAATGAAAGAAATTTTCAACTGTTTTTAGCATGCAACACGTGCACTCCGAACTTTTACACGAGGTGCGTACAGTTGAGTTCATACACACAAATCGCCAGTGATGTAATGGGAGCTTGCTTCGCGGCGCCGGCTTTGCACTTCGGGCCGGATTTCACCGAGCGCAACTGTACTAGCACACTGGCACTGCGTTTGTGGATCCCATTGTATTTGACATCATACTAGGGGAAGTGTCGTGGAGTTCACATAATTATCACAGGGATAAAAATACATTTCTCATGAAATAAAATAATAATTGATGATACTATCATCAATTATTATTTTTCTAGCGGCTAGACGATCGTATACGATTGATGCAAAATCCTTGCAGTCCTTGAGGACTATTACGAAGTGGTTGATTACTTTTAGGGCATTCATTCAAGCAACATCAAACAAACGCGATACGCTCCTTGAAAATGGAAAAAAATTCAAGCATAACGACAGAACAGCAGACCAATCGAAACGAGTAAAAGCTTCCTTACCTCAATCATCGTCCTGCCATGTAGTTGGACAGCCTTTTGACACGGTGGTACAGGCAGCTCTTGTCCAGTCAAACAGGGTATCCTTGGGGCGTCGAACGAAAGAGAGTGTCAGTGTATCTGACTCGTCAGATTGGAACTGTGCTGAACTTTTCTCTTTCTCCGCTTTCTGCTTTCATCCCTCGCGCTGATGAAACCGTTCAAACGTCTTACTGGCAGCAATGGCCAGCCAAACAGGGGATCCTTGTGGCGTCGAACGAAAGAGAGTGTCAGTGTACCTGACTCGTCAGATTTGAATTGTGCTGAACTTTTCTCGTTCTGCAATTTCTGCTCTCATCCCGCGCACTGATGAAACGTCTTCAGAGAACCACAAGGCGCTTCCCAGATTTGATTTTGAACGTCTCCTTATCCTCCTTGGTTACCTCGAGACAGATTAGAGAGAGTGTCAGCAACTGCACAGCAGAACTGGCAGCCATGGCTGAAGTGAAGAAAGGAATGCGCTGCCACGAGGCAAGCAAAACTGAAAATGTGTTTGTTCTCTTTCGGGCACAACACACAGGACGGCGTGACTGGATAAACTGGACTCCTGGACTGTGAATAGGGGGGACTTGTAGAAAAGTGTACTCCTTATAGGGGATTGCGCGGCAGGATGAAGCTGATCAAAACTGAGTGGACTCCTGGACTCTGTATAGTGGATTTTGGACCAATGGACTCTATATAGGGTGCTGGACTTCATATAGTGCATGGACTCTATACTGAGTCCTACATATATACTAATATGGAGGTCATGTGTACCCGTCATATCATACTCAACGTATGAAAGACACGGAAAACTACTGGACCTATCGAAAACTGCTTCCGGCTGTCCAGCATACATGGCGGCACAAGAACCACCTTTCCGCTTTACGCCGCTACCTAATGAAAATGCACCAGATGTAGCTCTTAAACTGCGGGAGAGAATAGATCAGATCCACCACCAGAGGTTAATTAAAGACCAAGATTGTATTTGCCGCATCCATGCTGCCCGTGTCCTAGGCAATAAGTTCCCGATTCATTGTGAATATTAAAAATCACAGAGAAAAGATAACGTTCTCACCTGGTGGGAGTACTCGACGTTGGCGTACGGCGTACGCGACAGCATGACGATGCCGTTCTTGTTGGTGACGTCGACGACAGTCAGTGTGTTCTCGTTGTAGGCAAAGCAGATCTCGTGGTCATGGTAACGCACATCCGGTCCATGGTAGATGACGCACTGGGCATCGTGAGTATAACCTGCATGGTAGAATTCAATAGGGATAAAACAAAAGTGTGTTGGGCTGAGAAACCCTCACAAGGCTCAGTGACCTAAGGTCTTGGTAAGTAACAGTAATGGCATTGCCAGTGCCTTCCATGAGTACACGTTGTGTCATGTTCAGTTAGAGCGTTTGTTGTTTCAAATCTTTATTCTCACGATAGCCAGTGACCAATAAGAGATAATAGACACGCTTAGCAAACAACGGTAACGCTCTTTTTTTACGGTACTCGTACCTTGATCACCCAAATAGCGTTGAAGCTGCAGCGTATAAACGTTATGGGGCCGGGGGCTGATTTATCGTTGTGACCAACGGTACGTGTTTTGGCCGAATATTGCATAGTCCGTACGCATTTCATCTCGTATCGCGTATGTGGTGACAAAAATGGTTGTACCGCGCGAAATCAAAGCTATTCTCGTGGCAACAGCGTACTAAAAATAGCGTGCATCTTGCTAAAGGTCGCACCCAAATCACGGTATTTTCCCCCTTACGATAATACCGTTACAACATAACGTTTTTTGCTAAGGGTGTCTAATAGTGCGAGAGAGGAGAAAGAGTGAGAAAGAATTGGGTGGGCAGGGATTAATGCCTATTTGTGATTGTTTCAAATCTTTATTCTCACGATAGCCAGTGGCCAATAAGAGATAATAGTGTAAGAAAGGAGAAAGAGTGAGGAAGAATTGGGTGGGCAAGGCCTAGGGGTTAATTGTTGTTGTTGTTGTTGCTGTTTTTGCATTCTTTTAGTTTACTTTGTTATGGGCACAGGCAATGCTGCTGCCTTCTCATTGAAGGGTGAAACTTCCGTTTGCGACTACGTCAAAGAAGAATTTGATCAGGGCATATCCAATCAGATAATGTGGATTTGTATATTCTCGGCATGCTTTGGTGGTGGATCACAAACCTAAATGTTCACGCTTGGGTTGGGCCGTGGCCATGGAGACCATTGCCATGAAGACCATTGCCATGGCCTGTTGTAGTGGAGTTTTGACAGGGAATTCTGGTCTGTACCATACAGGATCAACAGTGAAATTTCGAGGACCTTATTCCCAGCTGCTTAACAAGATAGTTTGCTCTAAGATTCAGATCAGGAAGAGTGTGTAGTGTGTCTGAGAATCATTAAGATCCGGAAAGTGAAAACTTTTACATCGGGAAACTGGTCCCCAGTGGCCAACACATTATTTGCAAGACGAAAGCGCATCTGTATCGATGCCTGACTTCTGTCTCCCACCCCCAGAAAATCGTCCACGTACCAGTACGCATGGCTATCCGAAACTAATGGGTTGCCTAGCAAGTGGTGTGGCCAATTCTGACCAAGCAGAACTATTTCTTTGCACTAGCGAAACCCATGCCCAAGTTTATCGAAATATCTTAGACTGGTAAATCCCCGTACCGTCGCCACCATAACACGTCGAGAAGCGTGGGAAGAGCGGCTCCCGGATGTCCACGATGTGCAGTCCACCAGAGCAAACGACATAACCGACTCTACTGCTAGTACTGCCTACAAGGTAAGCGTAGCCGGTGTCTTCGTTGACCACAATGTTGTGAGTGTTGCCAACCTGGAGGAGAATACCAGAATGGGAAGAGAGAGAGAGAGAGAGAGAGAGAGAGAGAGAGAGAGAAAGAGAGAGAGAGAGAGAGAGAGAGAGAGAGAGAGAGAAGAATAGATAGATAGATAGATAGATAGAGAGAGAGAGATAGGAATTGGGCAAATCAAACTTCAATCTTCATCCCATATCTATCCCAGACATCCATAATACCCCTCGCACTGGGCAGCTGGCCAAACGCACCTACTCCACGAAACGTGGGTTTCAGGGCGATGGAAGAGAACTATTCTCCCAACCGGGACCAGCAACTACATCTATGTGACTCAGGCACTGGCACTGCGCTCAGGCGCTCAGGCACTGCGCTGGCTTATTTCGATACAAATCACAGCAGCACTCTGACTGTCTTACCATGCCGTAGTGGGCATCGGCTGTGAGGCGTGGTACAGTGCCGGCTGGTGGCCGCTGACGCAGGCGAAGCAGATTGAACACCTGCGCATCAGAAGAGAACGCACGGCAGACATTAGAGCATTGTATTTTCCACAGTACATGTATCAGCCGAACTGGAGTAAGAGTCACACATACAAAATACAGACATCTACCCTGTTGATCACCGTTGATTTGACCATCGTAGCAAAAGCCGCACCGGCTATTTCCGGTGAATTACTTTTAAAGTGCGGTTTATAATCCGGCAAATACGGCACCTCATACAGTGAAACCTGTCTAAGACGACCGCTCAAGGGACGTCCATAACGTCGGTCTCTGTTTCCAGGTGGTCTCCTTATCCAGGGTCATTTGACTGGACATAGCATTCCTTGATCCTGGTCTCAGTGGTCTTCTAGAACAGGTGGTCGCCATATCCGAGTGGTCGCATTGACATGTTTTGCTGCAGATGTCTTTTGCGCATAGTAGAGTGAACCCTGTCTAAGCCGACCGCTCGATGGATCTTAGAAACGCGGTCTCCACGTACAGGCGGTCTTCCTATGCAGGGTCACTTGACTGAAAACAACATCCTTTGGTCCTATCTGTAGTGGTCCGCTAGGACAGGTGGGCCTCTTATCAGAGTGGTCGCCTCGGCAAGGTCTACAGTACTGATTCTAACACACGGTGTACATGTGTGAAACAGGCAAGAGTCAGTGCTGAAAAAAATTCAACAGGGCCGAGGGGTGAACTTCCATTCGATACAGTTCTAAAGATATATGCGCAGTCAGACCCGTCGTAACCGGTCCGGTTGGTCAGGTTATTAATGAACCAACTTTCTGGCCACCGACACGTGTTTTACCACTGCAGAGCGCATGTGTCGCCGCCATATCATACACAAACTGTATGAAAGGCCGTGAAACCACAGGACCAATCAGAAACTGCGTCCGGTTGGTCAGGTTATTACCGGACGAACATTTTGGTCACCAACACAATGTTTACCACTGCGGAGGGCATGTGCACCCGCCATATCATGCACAAAGTATGAAAGGCCATGAAACTACCGGACCAATCAGAAACTCAGTGCTTCCCGGCGGTCCCGACAGTTAACTCACCTGCATTCCATGACCGCTGGCCTCACTGACAATGAACGCATGGTTCTTGTACACTTTGATATCTCTCCACATGCTGAATGTGGTGTGCGTCGGTAGGAAGCCAAGGACGGTGGGATCCTCGGCGTTGGTCACATCCACGAATGCAGTGCCGTCCTCCGTGCCTTACGGTGCGAAGAACCAACACACACACACACACACACACGCGACACACACACAACCACACACACACACAGGTCACTGCCACCATTAATCATACAATCGTTCCACCTTCACCAAATAGCGTTATCCATACATGCCCCCCCCCCCCCCCCCCCCCATCCTCAGACTGGAACACCACGCCATAGTGGAACCACTGCACACATGCACGGGTTGCCATGGGTGCCCCGAAGGGAGGTTCACCAAAGAAATCTTTTTCTACTTTTCCCCGAATTGGTTGGTCCAAAGTGGCAGGGTGTGAACTGTGAACCCGATACCTTGTGCTCCTTCCACACATTAACGTACAGTAAAACCTAGGACTAACGACCACCCCTCGGGGCCAGAGAAAGCGGTCCTTCGTGGCAGGTGGTCTTTAGTTAGAGGTTTGCACCGCACAACCATATATGAATGTGAGACCGTCGATGCGGGGCAAAGTGGTCTGTAGTACCAGGCTGGTCGCTAGTCACGGTGGTCTTTAGTTGCAGGTTTTACTGTGTCACTGAGCCCCGGGGAGAGTTTGCTTGTTTCTTCCTGTTGATTGTGATTTGCACAGTACAGAGGAACTTCACCCAATGACATGAATATTTGAATACGATGTTGTAATGTTCTGGGACATTATTATTATTACAGTACTGGTCAAACCAAAGCACTAACAAAGACAAAACTAAAGACCAAGAACCAGGAACATAAAGCACAGAGAAAGGGAACAAAACAGATACACATATAAATATCGTACAATATACTATAATAGTACAATACTATAATATATTATTAACCAGGAGGCCTGCAACATCACAGATGTGTTGCACACTCACCGACAATGGCGTACTCGAAGCGAAGACCGGGTTCGGGCTCGTCAGTCCATCCCCAGATGTCGTTACCGTCACCCTACAGCCAGCAGGCACAACAATCAATGCAACAGGTACTTGAAACCTCCAGTCACCTATGTTAGTAGACACAGCCAATGATGAAAAGGCGCAGTTCCCTCACGTCACGAACATCTGAGCACGGAAGTATCGGTGCGTGTCCAACGGCAGGTCAGGTACCTCTCTCCCGTATGCATGTATGCACGCAGCACGCCGAAACTGCATTTGTCTGGCTTTTTCACCGCCCAATAAAATCAAAATAAGGAAAATGTCCAGTTCATCGGTATGCTGAAATCGACCTAAACCTAACATAAAAATAAATTAAAAAAAAAAAAGGTTCGTACGCGACTCGATCCCGAGACTCGATCAAGGTGCAGATGAAGTCGCAGATACAGCAGATGCAGTTCCTTAAGCTCTTTAACCTCACATAAACCTGCGCAATACCTTCACAGCTGCACTTCGAAATTTACTAATGCCGCTTTAAACCTCTGTTTATAGGTATGGGTAGACAAAATACAGACCAAGATATAATTGAAGTGAAACATTGAAGTAAACATTCTGAAGAGGCAAGTTATTGGCACGACAAGTCATTTTTATCTCTCCATATCATCATTAATATTTCTTCTCAGGCCCTGATGATGCCCAATGGGCGAAATATTGGCAAAGTTCTCATGACATCACTAATTTTTATTCTGAGAATGTCATTGCCTGAGTTTTGTTTGTATGGCCCAGAGCAACACAACAAATTGCATTCTTGTTTGCTACACAATACAAGCAGGATATTGCGATGATGTCATTCACATTCTCTCCCTAGGAGTACAACCGGCAGGATTACTTACATAGCTGCCCATGTCACGTAGGGAAACATATGACATCATGTCAACATTGGAACACTCATACTCGCCAGCACTCTTGCCATCTAAACACGGTGATCGTTGACGGATTGACGGCTCATTCAGTGGGCACTTTCCCTCAGCATGGCATTCGGCATGGGCCTTCACCTTCAGCTTCATCACCTGCGGCATGTGGAAGGTCTCAGCTGGAACAACAGAGCCGAGAAATACCGGCAGATGAGTAGGTGTGTTACGGGCATTCGATGATCACACACACGAGCCCATGAAGGCATGCAAACGCCCATGCACACACATACACGCAAAAACACACACACACATGCATGTGTACACCCCCCCCACACACACACACATACACATCAGGCATGGCCCTGGCACCGCAACGGGTATGGATAGCTGATATTGTGCTGTATACAGCCGACATGCTCTCCTACATGTACAGGCGTAAGACTGTAGTAGCACTACAGCTGCCGCCAAAAAAATCCGGCCAATGCCATGGATACAGTGGTATGGGATGCGTTCATCGGCTGCACTTCATCGTTCATGAATCATACCTGGCAGCATGTGCCGCGCAGGCTAGGCAGACCTCTCTAGCTCTACTTGCAGTGGCAGTGCATGCGGCCCACCATATAGCTGACATTAGCTAGTATTGCATGTGGCCGGATTGTTTTTGGCAACGACTGTAGCAGTAGTAGTAGTCCTAGATGTTATATTTCTCGCCGGCCGAGCGGAGCGAGAAATGATTTCTCGCGCAACAAAATTATTTCTCTTGCGAATATGGAATCTGATGTTTTCTCTTTTTGTTGCTGTTCTTTTTGCCTGACTCCTTCAGCCAGTTTTTTTGTGTCTCACCAGTGTCCCCACCCTCCCACCCTTCATGTCTGCCCATCTTCTTCCCTTTCTTTCTTGGCTGTAGATACGTTGTGCCTGTTTTTATGCTGCCCTGTTGCCACTTGGGGTTATACACCCGGTTTTTACCCTCATTCGTGCGTCCGTCGGTGCGAGGGGTTTTTCCCCGGCTGGCTCGGTCCAGAGAAATTAATCTGACGGTCCCAAGTGGTGCTTGTCCTGGCTTATTTCTGTTAGGTGAATGTACTCATTCTTTCCTCCTGGGGTCCGTCCCCCTGTTTTTGCTCCCAGTTTTCTTCTGCATTCCGGTTCACATCTGGCTGCGGCCTACTATGCTCACTCTGTGTGCTCCTGCCTGTGTTGTCTGGGTCCATGTCGTTATGTCGGTGTACGTGGAGCGAGAATACTACTACAGCACTGTATTGTTGCTGCTAGGCATAGTAAAGATGTCGTAGGAACAGATCGGGATTGGTCTACACAAAAGTTGGTTCCACCGAAATTTCCCCTTGGTTTTGCACGAACAGATGCAGGTAAATTCTCTGCTACGTCACCGGACAAGGAGTCGTTGGAAACCTTTATGTCATCCCTGAAACGAACATCGTTCATTAGAATCATTTCGGACTTGGATATACTCAAATTTCAAATTTTTCGGTGCTCAATATTTACGGTAATACGGCTTGAAAGTGATGACGTCAAAACGGCCAGGGAGTAGTAAGTTGACGTCAGATTTCTATTTTTGGATCCACTAAGGTGTGACTTTGCTATTGCCTAAGTATGTGGGTGCATAGCAACCCACTCATGTCGCATGCAGGTGTGACTTTTATTTCGCCACCAGTTGTAACCCCGCCCCCAGTAGCCAAATTATTATTATTATTATTTATTCATATTTTACTAGGGCAGTCCCCACAGACCTATGGTCTTCTTACAGGGTGCCCTAGCCACGTGAAGATAGCGGAGCGAAATGCAGCAGGTAGGGATATGGTGCGAATCGCGGCAGGGAGGGCGTTCCATCGGTCAGCTCCAAGATAAGATACAGAGTGATAGCCAAAATACAATCTGGCATGGGGCAGTACCAGGCCGAGCAATTCCTGAGAACGGGTAATTCTAGCAGTGCGGGATGATGAGACAGCACGAGGAGTGAAAAGTCGGCAAAGTAGGGGACTAGCACGAGCATTTATGCATCTATGTAGAAACACATAGAGGTTGGCAGCATAGCGAATATTTAACGGTGTTAGGTGCTGTCTAACTAAGATGGGTTGGATGGAGGCAGAGGGAGGGAAGCCAAAGACAGTGCGGATCGCCCGATTCGCGATGCTAATAAGAGCGTTATAGGTGGTCTGTCGCAGGCAGTGCACGTACGCATTGCTCGCGTACTCCAAGGTAGATTGGACAAATGCAAGATAGAAAGTTCGCTTGGCTCTAGCACTGAGAAGGTGGCGACAACGGCGAAATGCATTGACCTTGGCATTAACTTTACTTCTAATGTTACTTACTTGCTGTTGAAACGACAGATGCTCATCTATGATGATGCCCAGGTACTTGGCTTGCTGCGATTGCTGTATACGGCTGTTGCAAAACTGTAGGGCACAGTCTGCATGTACATTGGGTTTCCGTAGCAGCAGGAATTGCGTCTTGGATGGGTTCAGCTGTAGTCCATGGGCCTCCAGAAAGCTGCTCACACGGGTCAGATCATGTTCCAAGGTCTGTGTGGCAGTGGAAGGGGACGGGTCGGCAGCGTAGATGTTGGTGTCATCTGCATACAGGAGGCAGAGGGATGACTGTAGGCAGGCTGGTAGGCGCCTGGTGTACACCGTGAACAGTGCCGGTCCCAGGACCGAGCCCTGAGGGACACCGCGATTGGCCGTGTACGGGGTTCCAGGTGGTTGACGGAGGCATTTCACTTGCTGTGGTCGGCTGGACAGATAGCTGGAGAACCATTGTAGAACAGTGCCTCCTACTCCACAGCGCTGCAGCTCCAGAAGGAGCTCGCCATGCAGGACACAGTCAAAGGCTTTGCTGAGGTCGAGGAATGCTACAGCAACCACGTTGCCAGAGTCCAGGGACCGCTGCCAACTGTCAATGCATAGCGCCAGTGCGTCACCGCATGAATGACAGGAGCGATAGGCGAACCAAATCAGTCAGTTTCACTGGCTACATCACCATGCTGTGGGTAAGACAGCTTGAAATGTGCTTGGATCCATACAAAAACTGGATCCAAGTGGATCCCGTTTTTGAATTTTTGAAATTGATGCTATGCTGTGACGTAGCACTTTCAAGCCCTATAGGGCAAAAGGTCAGGTTAGGTGAACAGATACTTTCGGTACAGAGAAGCAGTTCCTATTGGATTACGCGTGTTAGTGTTTGTTCGGTGTATTCAAATTTTAGGTATGGAACATAATTATACATCGAGAGTACCCAAAATAAAACCAAAACAAACGCCGCCCATTATGCTGGACGACGCAAATCACATGCGTGTACATGTACATGCAAAGTTTAGGTGGCCTTGCAATTTTGCCTCGCATCCCCCCCCCCCCCTCCCCTCGATCCCCCATCTAGTCCTCCCCAAAAAATGAACATTGTTTGTTTCAGGGACTTTTCGGATGACCCTAAATGGGCCTAATGCAGTTGAAACGCGCTCCCCTGGAGTGATTCGTCACAGCGATTGTGCTTGGATCATGTCCTGTAGACCTACGCGTTGCACATGTCACAGTCATTGTGAATGTGAGGCGATTCGGGGCATTAGATTATTGAATATTGTCATGCCAAGCGGCACTACTATGCGTGGGAGATCTACGTACGTCCTTCGGTGCATTTTCCGATACAAGATGCAGACTTGTTGAACTCAGCATGATGGCGATGGTCATGCTGCGGCCTCGCCTACATGAACAGGATACAAAACACATCACATTCACAATAATTTGTGTTGCAATCAAGGTAGGTATGCCCAACAATCTCTGCAGCTTGGCTGCTTGCACGTGCTGAATGATAAAAGTAAGTATTCCGATATCCAGGAGGAGAAGCGAGACTTCCCTGTGTACGTAATGCACCGTACCTGGCACACAGCGGCGCAGATCAGGATAGCGAGAATGACCTTCAATGGCTTCATGTTCAGCAGAGATTCTCGAGACCGTGTCAGCCAGCAACCCTCTCGGTGCACACCCACTCAGTGACTACAAAATTTGATGTAGCGACTGTGACTCTGAGAACAACAGACAAGTACAGTACCGGTAGTTGCAATGCACAGCAAGCGTAGTACATGATTGTACAATGTCATGTATGATGATTGTAGTACCAGCGCTTTTAGTTCTAGCGAAAAGCCTAGCGTAAAAACTTCTTGCTTGATGGCCTATTTTCATGCAATCTCGGAATCGTGCGAATCACGTCAACCAGTTACCTGATTGATCAGTGCAGTGTGCAGCTCAGCGGCGCTGGTGATGCCGCGCCAGTGAACAACAATACATGACAGTCATCATGGTCATTGGGATGGTGTGACCCTAGTAGGCCTAGCCAAGGGGACCTGCCAGAACCGGCACGTGATGGGGCTTTTTGCAAGGGGAGTAGTCATGCCTCATGCCAGGCCCATGCCCATGGACAGGCATGGTAGTATGTCGACCTCCTAACTAGCAATAGTTGCATGCATAGCCCCCGCCCCCCTGCGCCTCAGTATTCAAAGGTTTATTCGGGAAAACCACAAATAAGATAATTATAATTATTGTGATGCAAATAATTGTGATGCAAATAATTAATTGTCAAAACCAAACGGAATACATTTCAATACAATAATTACCAAAATCCAGTCGGCCTGGACACGTGCGAGTCGTGCAAACCCTTTGCAGCTCAATGAAATCCGGAGACAATGCATCGCTGGGCATACCGTACTCGAGTCACAGACCTCCGAACACTGGGCCTATAGCCTATGGGCTGTACACTGTACTGGTCAGTTCAGTTTGCATGAGCAGCCTGTGCTGGCCAGTTCAGTCTCCGAGAAATCTGTGTCTAAGGTCCATAGCGCAACTCTGCGTGACCATGGGAGCATGTTGACATACATGTACATTATTGTGTTGTGGGTTCATGTTTGGATAATTAGAATGTCCGGATAATTAGTTTTTTCCTGGCATTTGGAGGTTCGAATTATCAGGATTCCACCTGTATAAAGGATATGCACATGACGTCATGGCAGTGAGTCAGCGGAGTGAGCCGACTCACTAAATAGTACAAGTTATGGCCAATATGGGCGCAAACGATACAGCGCGAGTCGACGGATTCGCTTGCGGGAGCTAGACTGTATACATGTACATGTATATATGCGACATGAGGCGGCAGTTTCGCTTGAGCTAGTGCGTGACGTCCGCGATCCACACAACGCATCTCAGCAGATGACGTCATCACAGCGTAACCTCCATAGTTATAACATTTGTTCCTCAGTACGTAACTGAACCGATACATGCACAGACCACGACAGGGCGCCGGGTTGAGAAATAACTGATAGTGCACATTAACATGTACATGTAGATCGAAGCAGTAGGGGCACAAGCACAGCACAACCATGATAAATGAGACCATAGCCCGGGAATCCCGGGAATCAGTAATAATTTTACAAGTATAGAGATAAGAAAAGAATTTTCCCATTGCATCTTTCCCTCAAGCCAGTGGCAGAGAAAATAGAAGTGGTTCTGGTATAGCAAGTGGCACGAGATCAGGATGACAACAAACAAGGGTAACAGTGAACACAGGTTTGTATTAAAGCATGTGTAGTCCACATCATGAGGTGACACGCGCACGCGCGCCTAGTTGGCAATCGCCTCCCGCTTCAGCTTGGCGTCCGCCTGCAGCTTCTTGATGGTCTCGTGGTTGGGGCGCAGGACAAACAGGCCCCGCTCGATGCTGTTGACAATGACGTTGCCGCTGGCAAAGTATGGGTAGCTGCTCCACGAGCCGTGGAAGGAGACCTGCAACGGAGCGATGAAAACAAACAAAATGTAAACGCAATGGATTATACTGTCGTGGACCTGGATTTCCGGTTGCATGTCTAGCGGCCCCAGGGCGCTGGCCATGCAGCCTTAGCTAGGTAAGCGGTACACACATGCATGCGCTGCTGGTCGCATCGGATCAACAATTTACATTGTAGACCTCTACATGTGCACTGCGTGCAACGGCGTTACGTTCTGTACGCGCTGAGCTGAGAGGGCGCTGGCCCCGGTCAATCGACTGGATTTCCATGTCCACGACAGTACATTACTCTTGATTGTGCATGCAGTGAGTTGCTCACTCGGTACAAACACCACAAGTAAAACTACATTGACAAGATTTCAAGATTTCAGTTGGATCTCTAGCCACACGTGGTGGAGGGGCTATGAACCTTGGGGGAGGTGGGGGAGGGGGATATCATTTCCGACCCCGCCTTGTTTCAGTGATCTATGCACAATGAAAGCGGTGGTCAGCTCTCAGCTCCTGTCAACCATCACCTTTGCCTCTGGAGCAAGTCAGGTGTAAGGCAGCAATGTGCCCATATCGATCAAATCTCCTGGGGCTGGGAAATGCCATTGCTCTGACTTGGAAATTAACTTGCAGCCTCACGTTTGGACAGCCAGTGTTTCAAAACGTTTTGCCAAATAATTAGTACCCACACATACGAGCACTTATTATCACAATACAAAAAGCAAACTGGATTCAATATTCCAAATGTCTCCACACCTCGGGTGATACCTCTGGTGCGAACTCAGCTCTGCTCATTGTGCAGGCGCGCTAGCTGGGTAAATGAGATGAAGCACACACAGTCACTCACCGTGTTCCAGTCGGGCGCGACGTCGAAGTAAGCCACCTCCTGCACTTGCTCGGCACCACCCTCGATGGCGGCGACGTCCAGGATGCGAAGGCCGGCGCAGTAGTTAGCCTCATAGGCCAGATTTCCCCTGGCGCGTTGACAGGAGAAACACACAACCCGGCATAAACAGAGTAAGTCCTCGCCTTCGCCATACCATTGTGGACAACCCCGGGGGTTTCAAAATGCAACGAGTTTCAAAATCTTACAAGTATTATATCTACTCTCTGTTTCAGGCGTCATGGGATTTGTATCATTGTCTACTAACGAGGTTTATCTTGTAACCGATGTCAAACTAGCGAGGGCAGACCTGTACCAGTAATACGGTTCGTGGCCTATGTGATGCTGATGTCAGCAGCATAATATATGATATCACTTCCCACACGGCATTGTAGACTGATCATACGAAATATTTCCCGGACTTTAAGCCGCACTTTGAACACTCAAATTCACCCAACGAAAGGGGGGGGGGGGGTTTGGAGGTGCGGCTTATACTCCGATGATCAAATTAACGGTAATAACCAGGGTGGATGTCTGTGCTTCGTGGCAAAAACAAGGGGTTCGGCTTATACTCCGGGTGGTGTTGCGTCTCGCTGACAGGACACTATTGGAACAGTTTCACATATTTGTCACGTGAGTACACACGGGTGTAAAGAGTACTGTACAAGCAGAAATATTCGTCTGGAATTTAATTTCGTCTTTTTCGTCCAAGGAGCTTTGGGACTAAATTAAGTGCCGGACAGATGTCAATTTGTCCAGGGTTTCAAATCATTGTTATAGTCCATGGACTAAATTTTCAATCGGACGAAATCCCTTTCTTTGGAGTTGGACGAAATTATTGACCGACGAAATTTTCTGCCTCTACAGTACATGGCATGTGGGCAGTGGAAGAAACACGATGGATATCATGTGATCCCTAGATGCAGAGAATGATTGGAGTTGGAGCCAACATGACCGAAAACAGGTAACCTATTGAGGCAGTGATCGACAAGAGTTGAACCGAACGTGGATGCCCGGTGTGGTCTTGTGATACTTATGCAATAGCTCTATACACACTCAACCGGATGTTGCGTACATGTATGTGCATGCTACTTCCCTCTCTTCTCTTATCTCTCTCCTACCTTTTTACTAGGAGGAAACTCGTTTTTGGATTTTAGAAATAAAACACCAATCGTGATCACTTACACAATGTAGAGGTTGTGATCGACGGATCTCTCCGTGGACAGGAACGAGCTGTAGTGAACGGGTGCTTCCAGGTTCTTGACGTCCCAGAGCAGACTGCGGGTGCGCTTCTCAGACGTGTACATCTCGTCGAGTTCGTCGTTCAAGATGGCGTAGGCGTGATCCTCCGTCAACCAACCCTGCAAGCACACGGTAAACACTCTTAGCACCAGACATTGATTACGAAGCAATAAGAAACGATGTATCCGCACACAGATAAGTTCAAAAACACGGTCTACCATTGATGGCATGGAGCAATGTCAATGCATGCCATTCTTCAGCATAACAACGTTCTCTCCACCTGGCCTCCATGCATGGGGTACGCAACTCTCCACGTGTGAAGGGCTTGCGAAAAAAGACGGCGTATCAGACATCAGATTTCACTGAAATAATGTACAGTAACACACACCTGCCCTAACCGGACACCCTAAGTGCAGCGGAAATTCTCCTGATTACACCGGACACCCTCGGCATCATCCAGGGATGCACGTTCCATCCACAACGTTTTGGACCATGAGCACGTGACCGAAGAATGCGGGGATTCCGATCGGCACGGGGTCCGGAAAACACAGGCAGGGGCGTACCCCGCATGGGCATGGGGGGGGGGGCACGTGCACCCCCCCCCCCCTCTAAACTGGTGTTGATTGAGAACAAAGGAGGAAGGGAGCGTCTCAGCTTCCTCGGACCAAGACCATTCGACTCAGGACCCCAAAGACTACAACTGGTGAAATTTTGATTTTAGGGTATTTTTCCCCTTTCATGTTTATTATCCATTGACGCTGGTGCCATGGCAACACTTGAGATTCAGGACTCGAGCACTACATACCTGGTGGGAATAGGAGACATCCTGGTACGGCGTACGCGACAGCATGACAATGCTGTTCTTGTTGGTGACGTCGACGACAGTCAGTGTGTTCTCGTTGTAGGCAAAGCAGATCTCGTGGTCATGGTAACGCACATCCGGTCCATGGTAGATGACGCACTGGGCATCGTGAGTATAACCTGTGGGGATAACGATAAAAACAGGAAACAAAATTTACAAATTAAACTCGGGTGGAGAGCCAAGGAGTAAAAAGGACCATAACTTTACAAGTTACCCGTTTAGCCCAACACTATCGATTTTAAGCAGGATAATGGTGAGTCAAAATGTGCATGAATCAGCACAAAACTGACTGATGTTATACTGACATTCCACCACCTGATACCTGACGCACAATACCTTGGCTTCTGGGCAGATTTGTGTACATGAACCAGTTGGCGTGTACATCAATCAAACTAAGAAATACCTACAGTAACAGTAGTACGCGTACTGTAAAGCAGTGTTGTTCGTCTCTCTCCACCCCCACCCCCCCCCCCCCCTCCCCCCACCTCCCCCCCCCCCACCTCCCTCCCCAGTCACTCGTCTAACTGCGCAGTAGTTTTGAAAATATGCGTCACAGTCCGGTGTTAAACTTTTGCGCGCACCTCTGTGCACAGAGCGTGCTAGCGCAGGTATGCCCTCTGGATGGAACTATGCAAAGTCAAGCGTGGTATGTCTGATCCTCTGCATTGTTATACATCAGACTGCACTTGAGAGCCTGGGCCTGATTCCCGCCCCCTGCGATAAACCAGCTGGGAAGTGACTCAAAGTGTGGGAGATCAGCGTTATTTTAACCGTAGACAGAAAGACTACTATGGTAAAAAAGGAGAAGGACAACATGTTACGAGTTATGACTAACTGCCCACCAATTTCTGTCAGTTTTGTGCCACTTTGTCGCACTCGCTGACTGTATAATTATGATCGATTACGTTCATGGACAGTTAGTCATAACTCGTAACATTTTGCCCTTGTCCTTTTTTTACCATCATGGAATTGGCTCACCATCCGAGTTCAACAGAAAGTACTGTTTGGGGTACTTGAAGCAGTATGTTGTAGTAGTTACGTACCATCACCGCCATAGCAGGTAGAGAACACCGGGGTCAGAGGCTCACGGATGTCCACGATGTGCAGACCACCGGAGCACACGCGATAGCCGCTGCCGCTGCGAGTACTACCGACGAGATAAGCATAGCCAGTCTCCTCGTTGATAACAATGTTGTGAGTGTTGCCGACCTGAGAACAGACACACACACAGCAACCAGTGCAATAGCATGGTGAAACGCAGAGATAATTTGCTGCCAAACTGAACAGAACACCCGGTTTCCGTCACAAACAAACAAACAAACAAACAACGCAACTTGCCACTTGAGTGACACAGGTGTCCCACCTTCCTCAGACTTTAATAGACGTATCAATACATGGGCGGTTCGACTAAGAGAACTTAGTGGCTACGACAAGGGGGGGGGGGGGGGTTAAGAACTGCATGGACATGCAAAACCTTTATGATGAAATGACGTTAAAGCTGACTCACCATTCCGTAGTGGGCATCGGCGGTCAAACGAGGAACGGTTCCTGGTGGCGGTCGGTCGCGCAGACGCAGCAGGTTGAATACCTAAAATATGCCAGATCACACGCACAAAGTCACCGTCATCCCTAACGTTATCACGGAGTGCCACGGACCCACATGCAGCTTTCTCGTCTTTCTCATGAAGGTATACCCACCAAGTATGAGCATAACGCAGACTTGTAAGGAATTTTGGCAAGATTTCTGTGCATTTCCTCTTCCAATCAATAAGATTCTCTGCAGCCATTGGCAATCCTGATTTAAATTATCACCTTGAAACTACGTCCACCAAGAAAGCTGTATAAAAAAGACCAGTGTCTGCTTGCTTGTGTATAGCTATCACTGTGTACTGATTCTCTCCATAGCGGAAAAATAATAACAGTAGCTTTTTCTATACAATGCAATCCAGTCTCGTCACTCAAGTTTGCGCCTTGCACCATTGTTGCAGCCCAGCGTTCGCAGGTCTCGCGGTGCGCAACGCCCGGCGCGTGCTTGAGGGACGCGACTGGATTTCACTGAGCAGCACTGTTGTATCACGCGCCATCGCATATCCTGTTGCCAAGTCAAGCACTGCACTGGCTTACCTGCATTCCATGGCTGGTGGCCTCGCTCACGATGAAAGCGTGGTTCTTGTAGACCTTGATGTCACGCCACGAGCTGCTGAACGTGTGCGTTGGCAGCATGCCGAGAACGACAGGTGATTCGGCTTCGGTGACGTCGACGAAAGCAGTGCCATCGGCCATACCTTTTTAGCAAAGCAAGCATTCAGTAACTAAGTTCACTTTACGAAGGCGGTACAGGTGAAAAGCCAAGCTGCACTTGTCTTGAAACAGTAGTTACGTAATGCAGGATAGAGCTTTTAGCAAAAGTTGAAAAATAAAAAAAGACAATTAGGGCCTTTGGCCAGCTGCTCAAAGTTTTACTGCATGAGTTAATCAGAGGACAAGGACGAACAGCGTTGTTCAAGGATACTCTAGTACCGTCAACCTGTGAGGAATCTTAAGGACATGTACTGATCATCAACTTGTGCAATAGGCAAATGCAAAGTGAGTCTGATAATGATAACACACATTTATCTTGAGCCTACATGCACTAGTTTGCATCCTGGTGTCCATTACGCATCGACATACTGATCTGTAAAACCAGCTACTACAATTCATCACCACACTCACCGACAATGGCATACTCGAAGCGAAGACCGGGTTCGGGCTCATCAGTCCATCCCCAGATATCGTTACCGTCACCCTACAGCCAGAATGTATATGTTGGACTCAGTAGAGCGTCCAGCCCCTATATGATGTCCAACCCCTATATAGAGTCCATTGGTCCAAAATCCACTGTACAGAGTCCAAAATTGGAATCAACTGTGAGCTCAGTTTAGATGGACATCACTCCCTGTATAGAGTCCAGCCAATTGGCTTCACCCCTATATAGAGTCCATTGGTCCAAAATCAACTGTACGGAGTCCAAATTTTGAAATCAACTATAAAGATTAAAGAGTCTTTATGTGGACAACACTCCCTGTATAAAGTCCAGCCAATTAGGCATCCCCTATCGAGTTCGAAATTAGACATAGGATCTGCTGTAAGCAGTGAATATTAACCAGAAAACGGCCTCTCCCTTTAATCCTTTACATCATTCACTTCTCAAGATAAAAAATATGTATTGAGGCGCCACTGCAGCCACTTCACTACATGAAAAACCCTACAAACACCATCCTCAAATCAAGTGGTCTCTTCGCAGACGCTGCAAATTACAATATCTCAATCATGCAGTGTTGCCAAATTATTGTGCACGCACACACACACATGCACACACCCACACAACGCCAAGAAAATACCTAGAAAAAAACAAGAATCGAAAGAGAATAATGGAGAGCCCAGGATTAATTATTTGTTTTCAAACTATTGCGCGCGCGCGCGCGCACACACACACACACACACACACACACACACACACACACACAAACTTATACAACGCCAAGAAAAGAGTAGAGACACAATACACACGCAACTCCAACAGCCATGCAAACGTCCACCCATTTACACGTAAAGTCAAGAGGGATAACAAATAATTATACGAAACGAATGCATACGGGGACGGGTACACGCACGTTTACATACATGTAGTAGTGTAAGAGAGTAACATAGTGCAGTGGTCAGCATAATACTAGCACATGCTGAGAGTGCAATAGCAAGCTTCACCATTGCTCATGGCCATGCAAATGTTCAGCAGCACTCAGTTCCGCAAGCTTCTGAAGATCAGCACACCTGCAACAAATAGATAGCACAAGGATACGCCTATTAACGTAATGATGCATGGGAGCACACAACTACCAAGTTCTCAACGAATGTGATGCTCAATGAAAATCAATCCACTCAAAGACCTGTGAACAGGTGACGGTGGGGACAATAATCTATTAGTAATACGAGGAATAAGATCGTTTGTGCACACTCAAGACGCACGGACACACCACCATACATGTAGTGTACACAGTGTTTCACTGCAACTACTTCGAAGTAAATTGAAATGAGATGATTTGAACAATCTGTACCGCGTTGCCGTCAGTCAGTCTTCCCCAAGATGGAAATGCAATGATTTGTTGTCACGAGGCAGTTTCACTGACACAATGTCATGTTCGTGACATCAAAACGGTTACTTCAGGGAATACGAGTATTAGCTTGAGAAGCTTTTTCTTGTCATTGGCATACAAGCAATCCTCCTACTACTACTAGTACACTGGCACTGCGTTTGTGGATCCCATTGTATTTGACATCATACTATAATTTGTAGAGGAAGAGTGTCGTGGAGTTTCACATAATTTTCACAGGGATAAAAATACATTTCTCATGAAATAATTATAATAATTGATGATAGCTAGACGATCGTATACGATTGATGCAAAGTCCTTGCAGTCCTTGAGGACTATTACGAAGTGGTTGATTACTTTTAGGGCATTCATTCAAGCAACATGAAACAAACACGATACGCTCCTTGAAAATGGAAACAAATTCAAGCATAACGACAGAACAGCAGACCAATCGAAACAAGTAAAAGCTTCCTTACCTCAGTCATCGTCCTGCCATGTAGTTGGACAGCCTTTTGACACGGTGGTACAGGCAGCTCTTGTCCAGTCAAACAGGGGTATCCTTGTGGCGTCAAACGAAAGAGAATGTCAGTGTATCTGACTCGTCAGATTGGAACTGTGCTGAACCTTTCTCTTTCTCCGCTTTCTGCTTTCATCCCTCGCTCTGATGAAACCGTTCAAACGTCTTACTGGCAGCAATGGCCAGCCAAACAGGGGATCCTTGTGGCGTCGAACGAAAGAGAGTGTCAGTGTACCCGACTCGTCAGATTTGAACTGTGCTGAACTTTTTCTCGTTCTGCAATTTCTGCTTTCATCCCGCGCACTGATGAAACGTCTTCAGAGAACCACAAGACGCTTTCCAGATTTGATTTTGAACTTCTCCTTATCCTCCTTGGTTACCTCGAGACAGATTACTGTCAGCAACTGCACAGCAGAACTGGCAGCCATGGCTGAAGTGAAGAAAGGAATGCGCTGCCACGAGGCAAGCAAAACTGAAAATGTGTTTGTTCTCTTTCGGGCACAACACACAGGACGGCGTGACTGGATAAACTGGACTCCTGGACTGTGAATAGGGGACTTGTAGAAAAAGTGTACTCCTTATAGGGGATTGCGCGGCAGGATGAAGCTGATCAAAACTGAGTGGACTCCTGGACTCTGTATAGTGGATTTTGGACCAATGGACTCTATATAGGGTGCTGGACATCATATAGTGCATGGACTCTATACTGAGTCCTACATATATGCACACAAGTGAAAGGATTATGAGTCACGAGATTCCATTGCATGACGGATGTGACAAGAAAAACGTTCTGGAACGAAACCTTTTGCTACTTTGTTGTTTGACAAGAGCCCGGATTTAATTTTGTTCATAGCTATTTTACGGTTATTATCTCCAGGTCGCCTATTCAAATATAACAAAAAGTGAGTTTTTTTTCGTTTATTACCATAGTCAACACATAATCTCTGCTTCGTTAGTATCTCTGATAGGGCAGATGTGATGATGACAGAACTCAGTGAATACTACGCAATGAACCAGACTCCAATGAAGTCTGACATTTTAAAACAGGAGCCAGTACTTAAAAGCACCAGGTGCAGGTTCCTGTTTGGGAAGGCCCAGTCAGTCGAAACCGGCGGATATATTGGCATCCGTTGAACACGCAAACACTATATCCAAACTGACGGAAAGGTAAGCATTGCAATAGCTTCTGCAACGCGGTGACGTAGCACCTTCAAACGCTTATGTGCTTGCAAACATCTTGCGAGTATTCAGGGTTCTTTCGCTTTTATTACATGGATCTGTCAATATCACACAGACAATTTCACATCCCTTGCCATCAAAAAGGAAAGCCAATTGCCTGTGTCTATGGCCATTCGAGGTGAACACGCTCTCTCTAGTACAGCTACGCTAGTATAGCAGGCAAAGGAGCTACTCACATTGCTGCCCATGTCACGAAGGGAAACATACGACATCATGTCAATGTTGGAGCAATCATACTCGCCAGCACTCTTGCCGTCTACACACGGTGATCGTTGACGGATTGACGGCTTGTTCAGGGGGCACTTGCCCTCGGCATGGCACTCCGCATAGGCCTTCTCCTTCAGCTTCATCACCTCTGGCATGTGGAACGCCTCAGCTGTAAACATGAGAACAGAGCACATTACGAATACTCATATGTAAGCCGGGAGACATCAGCAGACATCAGCAGACGGAGGCACCATCGTGACCACCACACCATGGCCACGACTGCCTGCTTCAAATTGCGGTGCAAGATACCAACTTACTTATCTCAACAGCGCCCAGTGCATGTGAAACTAGCTATGGTCTAGACCCTAATCATTTGAATTCAGATGAGACCAGGAGCCCAAGTCCTTGGAAGCCATAATTATACATTTTCTCAAACCCAAACTCTAGGTGGTAGTGTTGGGCATTCCTCATAGAAGTGGACCCATGCGTGTGGCTGCAAATGTTGCACTGGGGGAGGTTTTCTTGAACGTTTGAAACTCATCTCAAAGAGGGTGCGAATGAATTTTCTGTATTCGCAACGTTACGTTGACAGCCGTGCTGAGATCGATTTATACCAGTACGGTCGGTGCTTGGATAGCCTCGGAAACTCAAAGTGACAAGTCACTCGGCCATGCAAGCATGCAGCAGTGTCCGCTACTTACGTCCTTCGACGCACTTTCCGACGCACTGGGTCTTGTTGAACTCACGCTCATGGTGCGAGTGATGGTGTCGTGCCTGTGCGGAACACGGTAGAGAGTTTGAAACACAGATATCACTCACGGCACTAGTGATCCGGCCAAGGTTAGTTATACAGCAAGTCACCGGTGCAAATGAGAAGAATACGATCAAGTGCCTGAAACCACAGTGGTTCGGTATCGCCAGGGTCCTCAGGCAGGCAACACTGCGGAATCGATAATCATAATACATTTTCCGGACCCAGTGGAGATCATTCATGAGTAAATTGGAGTTCTTTCGCAAGCCACCAACGTACCTCACACACAGCGACGACAACCAGGAGAGCTGCTAGAACCTTCATGGTGGCAGAGATTTTTTCTGCTCCCGCAAACAAGCACTGATTCTGACGAACTGCTGGCGACTGGTGGCGACACGCATTTCTTGGCCGTCTTGCTCCGTCGTCGGCGAATCTGGTCTTGGATCTCGGGAAGGTGCCAAGTCAGCGGTCTCAGCCTGAGCCAGCAATGCACGCACCGTGCCAACCCGTCAAGCACGTGTTGAAGACCAACCGAACCACGCGCGCTAGCGCTGTTTCATTTTCTGACTCAACCACCTGTCAAAAATAATTCTCTGTGGCTTCACAGTTCACTGGCTTGCAGCGAGCTCCTTCGTTCGTGCACGTCTCGAACAGGACGGCCAACTCGTGCAGCTGACGTCATGACGGATGAAGCTACAAGAAGAAGGTCTTGTGATCAGATCGTGATGCATCGCCATGATAGCTGGCCACATAAGGTTTGCCGGTCGATCGTAGACCATGGACCAGGGACTGGTAGACCATGGTAGACCTACCACGGACTATGCCGCTCTGTAGACACGTGACATGTACCTGTACATGATTGTACTATTTGTAGTAGTACTAGTAAGTAGTAGTGGTAGAGCCTCTCTCTGATCTGGTCTACCTGGTCTACGTATTATACATCATGTACACACATGTGTAGATGGTTGCCGTCTTGCCGCGCACACCACACGCTCCGGAAATCTGGTCGTAACCATGGTAACCCGGACCATGCAGACTGTGCGCTCTGAAGTACAGTCGTCCCTCTCTAATCCGGCACCTTTTTGCAGCGGCATTTTCTGCTGGATAAACAAGGGTGCTGGATTATCAAATCCTGCCCTCCAACCCCGCCTACATGACTGTTATCAGACATGTTTGTGTCGTACGTCAAAACGTAGGGATTTTCTGTGTCAAACCAAGTACTTTGTGGAATGCATGTCTATAACATACATGTACATTACACTTAGGAATATCCTATGTACTGGCATGGGATATTCCCAAGTGTATGTTGCATGTGTTGTGTATGTTACAATGGTCCCTGACAGTCTGCGATGTACAACTGCTGGATTAGAAAATCGAATTATGTACAGTTTGAGTGATTTGTTGCAAAAATCGCTGCTGGAGGCGGAATTCAATTGCCGGATTAAAGCGTAGAAAATGAACTGAAAAATCCGTCTTGCCAGAAAGTGTGCTGGTTTGCAAGGGCACTGGATAAACAAGTGCCGGATTAGAGAGGGACCACTGTACAACTACAACTTACAAGTGCATACTGCGAACAATTTTTTTATTAATTAATGCAATGAATATAACTAAATGCGCACTCATATCACAACCATGGGGACGAATCATGTATTCCAGAACGTTTTCTTGTCACAATTATCAATGGAATTCGTGACTAAAGAGAATGATGAAACTACAATAGGATTTATACACTTGGAGTGGAACAGCAAGGATACAAGCATAGTAAGAAAAATTGCACAAACCTAGGAACAATTTGCACAGGTAATAAACCATCTGTCCGAACGTATCAAACAACACGTGCCGCTCTCACTATTGTCACAGGCGGCTAGGTCCTCCCGACCAAAGCGTGGCCAACCACGTAAGCACCCGACTCCACTGTCCGTTCCGGTTCCGGTTGAACTGTCACACAATGATTGTCATTCTGGGGGAATCTGTAGGTCACTACTAGTATTATTATGTAAGGTGAAAGAAGAAGGACTTCAAGGAGTGTATGTTTGAGCAGGTGGGGAATTAGGGGATGCCCATTTCACTGGCAACTCAAGAAAGGACTACTACCGACTAGTACGCAGGGGCGGATCCAGGAATTTTTCAGGGGGGGGGTTCAAATTTTTTCGAATGCACAGAATAGACCAATCCCGAAAAGATTGTCTGGGTTCGTGAAAGGGGGCACGCGTGCAAGCCAGCACGTGTGAAGTGCATCGTTTTGTATTCAGTTTGTGTGTGTCAGCTCATGGCGGAGGAGAGAGAGACTTTTGCTCGCCGAGCTGAAGCTAAAGGATTTGATGGAGTCCTGCCAGCAGCTAGTCAAAGGACCTTCGGTACCTTAGGCAGACCCTGACGGAGTTTGGAGGCCAGATAGCTCTCGGTGAGGAGAGAAACATTCGCGTGGCGATCGACTCTCCGTAAAAAATGCAAGCTACATAGCGCCGACATACTGCAACAGCTACGGTTTCAGCGAACTTCTCGATCTGCTGCTTCACAAAGTTCAACTATTTACAAGTCCTGACTGTTGTAGTCTGAAGCTGGAGTCTCATCGCCCACCCACAGGTAGCTTTTGGAGCTGATGGATTTCCCGACTTGGACTCCTTCCGCAAACTCTCGCAACATTACTACAGTGTATGCTGTGTTTCCGCACGCTCGTGTCGACATATCACCTATACTGTACATGTACCGGGTCGCGGAGGAGCTTGACGACCTCCGCTGACTCCAGGTTTCCGAAATACTGCCGTCGTCTTCGTTGATGTCGCTGGTGACATTCTCCCCTTGCAGGACGTGCACATAGTTGTCGTCCCGGGGGTAAAGTCTTTCGAAATAGTTCTTCATCACGCTCGCGCGAATGATGTTTCTCATCATGAACTCGTTCCGACGGTGTGACACGGCGATGGTCTTTGGCGGGGCACTGGCTTGGCGAAAACGATATCTTCTTGTGCAATATAACATTGATCGGCTGCAGATGAGTACAGTCACTTCGTGGTTCGTCCTATAGGAGGGCAGCTGCCAGGAAAGAGGCAGGACTCATCGAAGACGAAGCGTTCGCAACAAACAGTAGCACTCGAAATATCTCGTAAGATTTAGGGCCTATCGCTTTGAGCCACAGCGCTCACAGCCTTGCCTACTTCATCAAAGTGAGCTCTACATGTTCGTTGACCTCTTCACACTACACAGAAGAGCGAAACAAGGATTGTCTTAGCATTTCAACTCCAACAGCAGACCATTACCAGTGCGAGAGAGAAAACTACAAAGGGCTTCGCTTTCTGTCGCATCGTCTCTCTTGCATGCAACTAACGAGAAAATCGTGTACTTACCCTCGCATTCACACGCGAACTATCAAACACGTCCTGTGCCGCGTGCTGATCAGGTAGTGCCATGTATGTGTTGTACAGTGTACTCTCAGTTGACATGCCCCCTTTCGAACCCAGACAATCTTTTCGGGATTGGTCTAATTCGCTTCAAACTGTTTTCGGTTCGTTCACTACACCGGGAGTTGCAAAATCGTCACGGTAGCCCTTGCATTGCTTGGCCAATATTGGCAATAAGGCAAGGGTAATGCGTTTAGAGCCTTACAAAGTACAAAGGTGCAGCACAGGCAGAAACTAAGGCCGTGACTGCAGCATTTTCCGAACTGACGGAAGGCGAAGTAATTAGTTCTCTGACTGTCCTCCGGCTGGGACTCCGTGTCGTCACATTCGCGCCGTACATGGCGGAACGAAGCCAAGCTCAATGGCAACTGATCGGCCGCTCGCCTCTTTGGCAGACGTCGCGACATGGCAAACTACACGACAAACACAAATCTTCGTACTGCGACGGAGGAAACCTACAGTCCAGCCAGCGCGAAAAAAAAACGACGAGGAAGGAGGAAAAGTGGCAGTTTTTCCTCCTTTTGCTCCACCACTTGAACTGTCGATCGTTTCAAGTCACATGATACGCGTACAGACCCTTCGATTCGAACGGTACGCGTACAACAGTCCCGATCACTGCATGCATGCAGTGACCTAGTACCTGCACTGCCTGTACGTGACTACTTGCAGTGAAGTCTACTGCCAGTACTGGCTACGCTGCATATCTACGCTACACTTCGCGTTACACGGTGAAGTGACCTGCGCACGTGGAGATCACAGAAAAATCGACTGGACCCATGCCATGGTCGAAATTATTTTAGGGGGTTCGTCCGAACCCCCTGAACCCCCCCCCCCCTGTATCCGTCCCTGGTACGTGCGCAGTAGTTGAACTGTCACACAATGATTGTCATTCTGGGGGAATCTGTACAGTCATGAAGGTCACTAGTATAATTATGTAAGGGGTCGTCCGTATTTTTCGAAAAATTAAAAAATCCGTCCTCAGGCAAAAAGGGGGTGGGTGGTCAAGAGTGCTGGCGGAATTTAATTTTTTGATTTTTCGTACTTTTTTTTTTTTTTTTTTTTTTTTCGCCAGTGACTCAGTTTCATACACTTGTTGCACTGATGCAAGTACAGTAATTATAGCTGACTGTGTATACTGTGCTGTAGACGTACAATTTTTTTGTAGTGTAGGATCGATTGTCGCAAACACCAGTATCTACTATGATACATGACTTTTCATCTAGTTGTAGGACGGTGCATGCATGGCCGTGACGTCGGTAGACCTACTACTCACTGTACTTAGCTATGCTGTAGTACTAACACAGGTGCAGTCAGAAAACGTGGGGTCAGGAGTTCTTATTTTCGAGCTGGGCATCGGTAAAAATCAAAAAATTAATGGGAAAAATTGGGGGGTGGGTGGGTGGGTCAGAGACAATTTTGCACGAGGACGGATTTTTTAATTTTTCGAAAATTACGGACGACCCCTAAGGTGAAATATCCGATCACTTGACTGACTCGCGACTGCCATGCAGAGCACACGAGAAGTCCAAGTAACGTAAACTCCGTCTTTAGTTCGTTCAACTGATGAGGGGTGAATTCCCCGAAACACTGTGTATTGAGCAGGGGGTGGTGATTTCTTGCAGGTTTGCTGAGTCGAAGGTTCGATGGACTTCATGTGCAGGCATGTAGCCAGCCCACAACCGTGTCTTTACGACTTTAGATAAGATATCACAGTGCACTAGTGGTCGGGGTTTGTACAGTGGAGCTGTTGGACTTGGAGTTTGTGAGCTTTTAGTTTTATGAGGTTTGAAAACATCCTACAATGATTATGTAGTAGGCCCTTGTCACACAGGATAACTATGCATGCACTAGTACTTGTATTTTGTAATCAAAAGGTACATGCACGTACATGTACATGATTGTATGCTCACACGCCAGAACGCAGCGGAGAGGAATGTTGAACGACCCAATTCATTCATAACTACTTCTTGAAGGAGGTTCTCACTGCATTGTACCGCTGCGGATTTGCACTATAAAGAGCCTAAGACTAGAGTTTAT